TCTTGCAACATTTAATTCCTTAAAAAAATAATCATTTCATAACAGAGTGTTTTAGTGAGGATATTCTAAAGAAGAGGATGATTCTAAAATAAAGAGTATCATCAAAAAAAAAAAAGTTAAAACGCTAAATTACTTAACAATAGAAAAGAAAACCCAATAAAACATCCTTAAAGCTCGTGACAAGGATTACATTTCCCATCAAGCCACCTGCAACAAGCACACACTTTAGTGATACGACTACTGACATTGTTTGCAATGAGACATTGTTTTGATCTTATTCAAGTCGGTGACAGCCTTCATGAAAGTTTAATTATTTATCAGCATTTAAAGTGCTTCTACCTTGGCAGCACACTTCATGAGAGAATGCTAAATTGACTTTCCTCTGCTAAAAGCCCTTTAGCAAGACATATTTCTGATTTGATATAAGCTTGTGGTGCCCAATTTCAAGATGGGCATATATGTTTTAAACTGTTGATGTTAATCATAACTTCTCCCAGACAAGATAAAAGCTAGAAGTCAGTGTTTTAATGGGCATTCTGATTTCCTACCAGCATTACATATACTGATAATAAAAATAAATGACCAATGAAAAAGTATATCATCCTCTCTCAATGCCTATGTGCTCTCTCCTGTATGGAAGTCCCATTACACAATAAGTTAAACGTTCTTAATGCTTTTGGATCTTGCTGCTGGGCTAAAAGAAGAAAAAAGCATATGGAAAACAGTCTTCCCAGTGGATCCACTCCTCAAAGTGAGTGAGACTTTATATATGTGGTGTATGGCACCTGTCAGTGGGTCTGCGCAAGCACCCTGTAAGATAAATTAAACATGTTACGCTTCATTTGAGCCACTGACTTGCTTTCCCCTTGTGGCTTTTCTTTTTCTTAAGTGAAAACCTCCCAGAATAAAAACACAAGTTGAAATAAATAAATAAGAAATACAAATAAAAGAACCAGAAAGGGGGTTCATTTCTCAATGTCTGGATGCCGACTGTTATAAATCAGTTAGGTTTTGGCTTTAAAATATACATAATACTCCATAATTGTGCTTTTTTAAAATTTATTTGGATGCTGCTATTTTCTGGAATATTACTTGGATGTTGTTAGATATAGGGCAGCATGGTGCAGCTGGTAGAGCTATCGCTTCTCTGCAAGAAGATTGCCAGCTTGAATCCAGTCTAGGACCTTTCTGGGTATAATTTGTGTGTTCTCACCATGGGTTTTCTGATTGACAAATGTCATTGCATTTTTTATTTTTTTTCTTCGTATCCTCCCACAGACTAAAAACATCCATGTTAGGCTAATTGGCAACTTTCAATTGTCCCTCAAATTTCCCTCTCACTTTCAACTGAGTGTGAATGTTTGATCGTCTCATTTGTCTCTATGTGTCTCTATGTGTCCCTGTGATGGACTTACAATTTGTCCAGGGTGTCCACCGCCTCTTGCACAGTGATTGCGGGACATGGGCACCAGCAGCTCTTGTGACCCAGAAAGGCAGAAGTGAGCAAAAAAAATAATGGAATATTCTTAGATATCTTGAAAAGGATTTCAGCCTACAACATGGTAGGCTGATATTCAGCCATAAATGGCAGCAGCAGTTTGAAATGTAATTAATTTAGCAAATAAACCATATATATATTTAAGTGCATCTTAAATACCTGAACAGGTGATTAGGTTCAACCTGTTCTGTAGCTGCAAGAATCAAGCTGCTCATCCATCCCTGATAAATTACAGGCTTCTGGTTATCAACAGGTCTGCTTGTTCACTTATATTTGTTCTTCTCCATATAGACTGCTTTTATTTGTCTTTGACATAAGCTGCTGGTGTCTGTGTGTTGTGCATTAGTGGAGTTTTAGAACGATGCACTGTCACAACTAGATACTCCCATATACACACAGATGTTAATTCACTTGGCTGCCACTGAAAGAACTGTCCGAACAAGCTGAGGGTAAGAGTAGAGTAGTCCCTCGCTACTTCAGGGTTCGTTTATCGTGGACTTGCTTTATGGCAGTTTTTCAAAATAAGATTGGACATGATACACAATTGGCTGATTGATGGATGAGCTACACAATCGGCATGGGATTTTTAAATTTAAAATAAATTATTTTAAATTATTTAGCACTTCTGTGCAGCCCTTACTGCAGGATAAACTTCCTGCTGCAGATGATCAGCTGTTCGTGCAGAGCGGAGAAGTGGGCGTGGCCAAGAGCACTCGCAGATGGCTGAGAGGAGGCAGAGAGAGGGAAATCATGACATTCTGTGCTCTTTTAGAGCATTTAGAAACATTGTTTAGAATATTGCAAGAGTGTGGGAAGGGTTTAAAACACCTGAATATACACATCAGAGTCAGAGTCTCTTTATGTGTCATTCGCACCACATGTGGTACATGTGGTGGAACGAAATTTTGTACACAGGGTTCCAGTTACATCCAACAATAAACTGCAAAAGAAAAACAGTAATAAGATCTATGGTACGAACTAAGAAAAAAACATTAACTAACAATATGCTAAGCACTAAAAGCATAAAAACAATAAAAACAATTAGCTGAACAGCAACACAAACATGATTCTGTGTGAGCAGATGTGTACGAACGAACACAGCAACATGAAACAGATCAGCAGCAACATGAAACAGATCAGCAGCAGCATGATGTTTTTATGTATTTATTTTTTTCACCGTGATTATCCTGGTTAGATATTCATGAGTCTAACAGCCTCAGGGTAGAAGCTGTTCCTCAGTCTAGCGGTTCTACACTTAATGCTCCTTAACCTCCTTCCTGACGGGAGCGGGGCAAAAAGTGTGTGTGCTGGGTGAGTGGGGTCCTTCATGATGCAGGTGGCCCTCTTCCTGCATCTGGAGGTATAGATGTCTGTGATGGTTGGAGGTGCTTAATTAAATTAATCATTATTTAATTTATATATACCGGTATACTAAAATAAACTACTACTTACTACTTGTATTACTATTCATACTTTGTGGTTTTTCTCTTATCGCGAGGCTTCAGGGTATGGATTCCCGCAATAAACGAGGGACTACTGTACTTATCTTTTATTGTTTTTCTTTTCTGACTAAAAAAGTAAAATAAATAAATGAACTGTAATTCACAGAGCTGAGCGGAAAATAAAAGAATACCCTCAGCAAAGATAGAATCTTATTAGAAATTTGCATGGTTTCTGTGTGACAGACCATAAAAGATGAAACACATTTAAGAGTATAATTGCTTTGGTCAGTACCTGTGGGTAACCTGCTTTACATTCTATTATGGGAAGGATGCACCGTGGCCTGCTTTATTACAGAGAGATAAACAAAACGACAGTGGGACCAGAGGAGACCCACATCCCAGGTAAATGAGAGCTTTATGAGAAAGATTAGTGCAAATTCCTTTGCACGGAGCACAGGAACATGTGGGGTGTGAGAGGCTTTCAGATACAGACTTGGCTACCTCCATTTCTTGAATTCCCTTAATAATCGATCAAAGCATCAAATCATAGCTGCATTCACTGAGAGGAAGGAATGACGGAAACCAAATAACAGCATAAATAGTGAACTACTGCACTAATAACTGATCTAGTCTTACACTACCCACATTTATACACTTGAAATACAATTATACACGCAAGACATATGCATATGTAATTTCTCTATCAAAGTCATACCAACGTCTACTAAGCTTTGCCAAGAGTGCATGCAGTGTCACAGAGAAACGGAGCATCTGTGAAAAACTGCTCTGACTGTATACATAAGCTCTTGATGCCATCTGTAGTGAGAGCCGATTATTAAACTCTTTTAACTTGCAGATTTAATATCTGCAGGGAAAACTGTGCAAGACGAACACACACCTGCTCCTTTTAGGGGAAGAAAAAAAAAAAAAATCTGAACATATAGCTACATACCCATCCAGCAGTCAGAATTCCTCATTTCCAAACATGAGCACATGTGGGGGTACACCCCTACTCATCCACATCATAAAAAGTAGTAAATACACCAAATGCAAAGAGAAAGATAAAAAATATAAAAAAGCCAGGAAGGTGAGATAATAAAAGAGATGGAAAAAGACCAATGAAGAGTGGGGGCACGAGATGAAAAGGCTGAGAAAGAAGATGAAGAAGAAAAGGAGAAGTATACGACATTTATTTGACCCACTCAAGTGCTGCATGCTTGATTTAAGCTCCACTGGCTCCTGTATGGTGGTAACACAGGTATACCACAGAAATTAAATCTGCACGGGGAGCAGACGACTCATTAAAAGAGTCCCAAATCATGTCTGTATGCCAAACACCATCTGTATTCACTCAAACTTGCACACACACATGCACACACACACACAAGTTTATCTTTCTATATTCACAGGGACCTTTGCATAGACTTACATTCATTTTTCATTCATTGCTATAGTCTAACCGTAACCTGGACCCTTATCCTAAACTTAACCATTACCAGTACAAACCTAACCTTAAACCTCACCCATCCTCAATTCACACCTTAGTCCTAAACCTAACACCTAACCCACCAATGGCACTTCTTCTTATGGGCTCTGGACCCCATAAAGAGCAGTTGGTCCTCACATTGTAGTATGTGTTGGAAAAATGGGCCTTACAAGGTAACAGATCCAAACACACACGCACATACGTCCTTGTTACTTCAGTACAGCTGAACAAATGGACCAAGTGCAATAAGAATCGACTTTCCTTGAATGCAAAAACACATTCAAAATGACACTTCAATGATTCTAACAAAAAAAAAAAATCTTTCATAAGATGACAAGTGCCATCAGCTGAGCCACTGCACTTTGTTATACTACCACACAGTCTCAGTGGGGGAAGTTTTTTTTTTTTTTTTTTAAATGTATTGCATTACAAAAGCAATAGCAAGAAAACAATCCCACCTGTGAATCCCACTTCACATGAGCACAGCAGCATTTATTGTAATGGAATACAGCATAAAGTAGAGGAAGTCTTACAGTAAGTGATAGACATCCATGGGGAACTGTAAGATACGTACCATTGGGGCTCTCCTCGTCAACAGTCACTATGGTTGCAGGGGGGCCTGGCCGGGACAGTTTACACGCTGCACACACAAAAACACAAAGGTAAACACAAATAAAAGCAAACCTGACTAATATGTATCAACCAGAATTTGTTTAAATTAAATGTGATCGTTAGAAAAGCACGTGTATTTTTTTTAGAACATGATTAAATAATAAAAAAAAACGTTTAATATTTTTATATATTAAAATAATTATTGGAGATCTAAAATACAATTCTGAAATCAAAGTATTTAAATAAATTCCTTATGCACCTGACTTGATTGGCACTTTTTTCAAGGTTATATTTGACAAAATTGTAAATATTAAGCCAAAGTCCACACTTGACTTGAGAACTGTACTGATGATCAAACAACCTAAAGTAAAGCTGCCATGGAGTATTTCAGATACTTTTGTAGTTAGTGTTCAGGTATGTGATTAGTACAATCTGTATGTATGTCTGTATGTATGTATACTGATAACTACAAAGATAATTTAGAGACCATTTAATTTCTGCTGAAAAGTGCTTAGGCCTGTGAAGTATTTGAGGTTTCTATTACAGACTTTTTGAAGTCAAAAATGTTTCTCAACTGATTTAGCAGGTATGTGGCCCTGCCCTTGACAAAGTGTACACAAACAAAGCTTAGATGGTGTACTAAGAAATCTGTTAGATAAACGGCAAACGAAAGCATGTGGTGAAAGCATTTGAAAAGTGTTTTTTTTGTTGTAAATTTAGTGAAGCAAAGAGCATAAGCAGCTTTTCTGACTTGTGATAATTTGGTAAACTATTTGTTCCTCTTTATATTGCTCAATAGTGGCCTCTCCTAATGTGTCTTTTTCTTTTCTTCATGTACAATTTAAATCCATTATGCACTCCCAAACTACAATGGTAAAGAGAAATGGGTTTATTAGAGGGTGGCGAGCAAGATAGTGTCTTTTTCTGGTTCCTATATCCATCCATCCATCAGTTTTCTTTACTGCAAGAAGCTGGTGCTTATAAGAGCTCAAAGAGTGAGAGGCACTGTACAACACATTTGTCTTATAAAACTTGATGGAAAAGTGAAGCAGGATTATATGAATATTCTACATAATTATGAAAGGTATTAAAATTTATAATAATGGGAGGATGATTTTTCAGTTATCAGGCTCCTCTCTTGTGGAACCAACTTCCAGTTTTTGTCCATAAGGCTGACACATTGTCCAGTTTTAAGACTGGGTAGACTTTCCTTTTTGATAAATCCTATAGTTGGGGTTGGCTTTTTATGCTGCTATAGGTTTAGACTAGTGAAGATACATTTACTTAATTTCCTTGAATGAACTCTTACAATTGAATAGTTTACATTTGCTATTATTTCTATCTTAGCATGTGATTCTTGGCCTGCCATTGTGTATCTGTTCTTCTCAAACCCAGCCAGTTGAAGCAGATGGCCGCTTGTTCTGAGAATGGTTCTGTTAAAGGTTTCTTCCTCATGAGGGAGTTTTTTTTTCCCTTTCCACTGTCGCCTTCATGTTTGCTCAAGATGAGAGTCTGCAATGAAGTTAAACTCAAAGCAGTCTGTTCCTCAGATAAATAATGTCATTAAGTTACTTTTTATGTATATGAATGTTTCTGTTCAGTGTCCTGACACAACTTCTGTTGTGACTTGACGCTATATAAATAAACTGAATTTAATAGAAATGTATTTTCGTGTGATTTATGGAGAATATCTTAAGCTTCAAGATTAAATTAAAATTAAAAAAAGAAAAGTGTTTTTCATGTTTCTATTGGTTTTAAAAACCACTATTTATTAATATGTCAAAAGCCATTCCAATCAACTTGTATCAGTAATAAAATTTAGGTTTCAGTAAGATCCTACTAAAATGTCATGACTTGATGTGTAGAAGTTACATCATTCCCATAGAAGCACTTTGAAAAAGTTACTGTAAATGCTGCATTTCACTGTTCTAAATAAATAACCCCCCAAAAAAGTTGTGGTCTAGTTTCTCCATATCACACCGGTGGATCCTGCAATGGCTGCTGCAGCAGGAACATCAGCAGTAATTGACTGATGATTCTGACTTGAGACAAACAGGGTGGCAGTAGAACAAAGCAACATGAAGTACAGCGCACGAGTGAGCGAAGCTTCACAGATGGAGGTCACAGCAGCTAGAAGGTGTAAACACATGGGACACAGGTAGTGGCAGCATGACAAGCAGCACCAGATGGGGCAGTGGAGGGGGTTGGATGAGGTTGAGGAGACAGGAGAAAGGGAAGCATCCCATCTAGAAGAAATGGGGCTGCGAGGCAGTTCAGCTGATGTAAGGAAAGACTGGGATTAAATGATTCTTTGCTACAGGGTACGATGAAGGAAAATGGCAGAATACAGAAAGGTAATAACACAAAAAGCAAAAAGACAACAGAGGCTTGCCCTCTTACCCTCATACTGCCAGTCTGAAGGAGTCAGAGGTTAGTGTAGCCAGAGGGAAGCAGAGCAGAAGCATGAAAGGAAGAAAGTAAAAAAAAGGAGAGTGTGAGATCAAACATTTAAGAAAGAGCTCTGAAGTTGGGAAAGAAGAGAAAAATATCACTGCAAGAAAATAAGAGCTGTTAGCGTAGAAGAAACATTTTATACATATGAGGAAGCAAAAAAAAAAAAAAAGAGGGAGAAATAAAGTTTTTGGGTTAAGGATACTGAATAAGTCTTTAATCCAGAAATGGTAGATTTTAGTGATTCGCTCATTTTTTTGACATTTCATTTTTACAGATATGGCCAAGACATTCCTCATACTGCCAGAAACAGCAGGCGATTTTCATTCAACTAAGGAAGTAGGGAGGGGCACACAAATATAAATCAAATAAAAACATATTCTGGGTGTAAAAAAAAATTGAAACATGTTCTGGAAAAAGAGCAGCAATAATTATAAACAATGTCCAACTATTCATTGATTATTTTGCTCTGCCTCCTTCGAAGATATTGAATCCTAGGCAGCTTGTTGCCAGGTCGTGTCATCTTCCATGTAACAGGAGATGGGGAACAACACAACCGCATCATCAGTCACTGCTCTAGTGTTTCCCACCCACCTTCTGGCGCCGTCTTCAGTTGTGCAACCACGCACCTGTTACCAGGTGCAAAACACTGGATAGGTTTCTTATTAAATATGCATTACCACGAGCCTTCACTGACGTGGTGTTCCAAAAGGACAAATTAGCCAGAATTAAAACCCTGGATGTGATGATGCATGCGTTTATGAACAATCCTGTTTCTAAAAATACAAATGTATGACAAGCAAAGGAATGAAAAGCAAGCCACAAGTTTTGGGCTCCTTTTGCTGGATACAAATTTATAGGAAATCTTAAAAATGACAAAACACATGCAGATCCTTTTTTTAATGTTGTTGTTACTTTGAAGACCAGTAAAAGCCATTCCTAACCTACAACCCATGACAGTGTTATTATCAAGATGTACCTCTCTTTAATGGCGTATTCAGCTTTAATTTTCAGAGTCAATGACTTCACAGTGAATTAGAAAGCCTCTACCTGTCTACTGAGGAAATTGTCTCCTTCATAGCAGCAAGATGAACACAGCAAGTGGGTCACACCTCGCAATGACTCATAAACAAGCAACGTGGAAAGTCTCCTCTGAAAACCGTAATGTTTGTGAAATAAAAGAGCGTGCAAGTGTGCGTCTGTGGCATAAAAGTTATTTTGCTCATTTTGAGACGCTTCTCCGGGGATCACAGACAGTCTGTTTTGTTAGTTGTTTTTTTTTTTTTACATGTGTGTTTTCACGCCGGTGTGTGGATGTGCGCGTCCTCGCACGTGTGTAGGCAGGTTAAAGTGGTAGTTTTGGCAGTAGGGGAGAACAATCTGAAGCGTCTAGTTTCAAGAACGAAGCAGAGACGAAGAATAGCGCCTCCATTTCCAGCAAACGACAAGGTGATGCTGTGATCAGAGCTCTGCATGTGAACGTACACAAAAAAACCACAAAGCAACAACTTCTGCTCTCAGTGGTGTTTACAACAAACTCAAATGATCCTAACTCCTTGACACATTTATACCATTTAACAGCAGGTGATGTTTTCTATTAAAAGAAGACCTCCCAGCCTAATGGGAAGACATAAGTCTTTTTTTTTTCCTGGGATTTTAACGTCCCTCTTTGGATTTAAACAATTATGTGACAAATCACTTCTCACAGTCCTCCAGTGATCAAAATTATTGAAACACCAAGGCTTGAAATCCAGTCTTCCGAAACCACAGGGAATCCTCTCCACTTACTTGCTTCACAATAAGGGTATTTACCTATAATGGATGGGATACTTTGTGAGCTAAACAACATGAGTTACAAGACGCCATTCTTACGTTAGATCACACGCTGTCATTTTCCAAACTGACAGTTATTCTAGATGAAGAACAGGGATGCTATGTGCTGGTTTCCCACCTCGCTTCAATAGGGATCACCACTTTGAGCTGAATCTGACAGTGAAGTAAACAAACGCTTACTGTGAAAGATGTCATTATGAAGTATTTAAACCGTATTTCTGGATAATCCTAACTTGAAAGAGATCGTATTTGGAGTTAAATATTATTGGAATAAAGGCCTGGTGTTCCTTTAAAGAATATTAATCATTAACACCTTTCATCCCATAATTATAGCATTTTAGATAAAACCGTGTAAATAATCTTACACAGTCTCGTGCACAACGGTGATATCTTGAAAGACGAGAAGAGAGCACTCCAGAGACAACTTGTCCTCCACCTCATCTTGCCCCACATGCACCTCATTCCCTTTCTATTCACAGCACAACTAAAGCTAGCGCCTTGTGTTAACAATGCATGCCTGCAGTGCTAATTCTCCCAGTCACTGTGTGCAAGATACAGTCCTGTCAGGGATTGCCAGTTGATGGTGCCAGAAGGGAAAAAGCATGTATGAAATGCACAGAAACCACAATGTAGCCTGCTTGTTACTGGCAGCAACTCTGCCCATTGAAGTCTGCAAACACTTTCAAGTTCATATCAGTCAAACTTGTCTGCACATGTGTAACTGAGAGGTGGTTGACATGACATGATTGTTGGACATCTTTTGCAGAAATTGTATTACAAGTTGAGAATTAGTGGGATTCATGCGCCACATCGGCAATTCGAGGCTAAGAACTAAAGTTCTGATGAAAGAAAATTTGGCAAATTCCAACAAAATGAAATAAACTCTAGATGTGGAAAAAAAAAAGAAGCTGTGTGAGCCATGTTCAGATTTGAGATTTTTTTAATTTTTTTTTAAATGAAATTTAAAATTAGGGAAGCAATAAAAAAATAAAAAATAAAAAAAACACAGTTAAGAAAAGAGGAATCTAAAAAAAAAGGTACAGTTGATGACACAGCTCAGCAGGAGGGATGTACTGCAGCTCGGTGCCCTCACCTACTGAGGTTCTGTATGTTTTCAACAAGTCACACATCAGTAAGCCTTGAATTTGGAACAGGATTAAACAATGCACAGCGTATCCCTCAAATTTAACTTTTCTTTGTTGTATGGATGCGAGGCTGGTGTCCAGTGGCAATTTAAGCTTCGTTTTGGGGGTGCTCAAGCACCCCTAAATTTTAACTCAACACCCCTGAAAAATACAGGTTTTTTTTTTTTTTTTTGGCGGTTCTGGGTTTGGGTTCTGTTTATTGCATTTATGATTCAATGCAACAAAATAAACACAGTTTAAAAAGGTAACAGATCATTGTATTGGTTTATTTACATAATGACTGCAATTGCTGGATGTCCGGCCCCTGAGCTGCTGGCTTTCAGACCAAGGTGTGCCCCCTCACATTATGATTGCTTCTGACGCCAATGGCCATCACATTGTTCAAGCCATTATCAGCAGGGCTTAATTTGTAAACTGATTGATGATAGAACAGTGGGCAGGACCGGGGGGGGGGGGGGGGGGGGGGGGGTCCGTGGGTCCTCTCACAGAAATTTTTGAATAACAGAGATGCCATTTCCTGCATTTTGGTGTATTTTAACGGGTTGTTATACATCAACATTCTCATACGTTTGTAAACGCTTAATAAAATTACTATTTTGGAGAAGAACAGCAGGTTGTGTGTGCAGCAGCTCCGATTCTTTCAGGTGTCCTAAACCCCCCTCCCCCCTTCTCCCTCCCCTCACTTCACGGTTCTGAGCTGAACTCTTCTCGGCTCCTGCTCCAGTCTCGTGGCACCGTTTGAAGCACCTGAAGGCGTCAATTCTCTGTTGGCCAACTAAGGACAATCCATCCATCCATCCATCCATCCATCCATCCATCCATCCATCCATC